AAGTCTTAGCACTTTGCGATGGAACGGGTACTTTGAGCTCACTTTATCTTAATTTAAAAAAAAAAAAAAAAAAAATTCAAGATGTTTACAAGTCAAAAAAAAAAAAAAAACTTTAAAAAAAAAAAAAACGACTTCTACGGAGAAAAAAAAAAAACTATTATTAAAAAAAAAAAAAAGCCTAAATTTATTTTTGTAAGAAAAAAAAAATGTGTATATATATATATATATTTAACAAAAAAAAAAACCTAGAAAAAAAAAGATACAAATATAGGCAGAATCCAAGTGAGATTGGAGGATGGGAGGAAGATGCTAATTAGGTTCTGTGACATGCCCTGACCCTCGGGAATTTTAACTAAAAAAAAAAATAAAATAAAATAAAATAAAATCCATAGAAGCTTGAATTTTAGGCAGGAATCCTGGGGGTTGTGGCTTCGCTGCTCCCCACAGCCTTGAGGAAATTGTTTGGGATTTTTTTGGGATTTTTTGGGGGGTTTTTGGTGTTTTTGTTTTTTTTTTTTTTGGTAGAAATAATTTTATTTTTTTGGATGTTTTTTAGCCAGTGCCAGCGCGGAGGTGTCGGGATTTGGATCCTGCCTGGGGCAGGGATTTGGGATTTTGGGATTTTGGGATTTTGGGATTTTGGATTTGGGAATTCCTCCCCCCAGGAAGGGGCTGGAATTGTGGGGGGAAACTGGGATTGTTCCTCAAGGATTTTGCAGCTTTCCAGGGCAGGGAATGGGATCTGCACCCAGAAATTTGGGATTTAGGCTGGGAAATTTGGGATTTGGGCTGGGAAATTTGGGATTTGGGCTGGGAAATTGGATCAGGGCTGGGAAATTTGGGATTTGTGTTTTTCCAGCTCTGTCCTGGGCAGAGAAATTGGGATTTGGGCAGGGAAATTTGGGAATTGGGAATTTGGGATCAGGAATTGGGAAATTTGGGATCAGGAATTGGGAATTTGGGGTCTGGAATTGGGAATTTGGGGTCAGGGCTGGGAATTTGGGGTCAGGAATTGGGAATTTGGGATCAGGAATTGGGAATTTGGGGTCAGGAATTGGGAAATTTGGGATCAGGAATTGGGAAATTTGGGGTCAGGGCTGGGAATCTGGAATTGGGGCACCCCCGATGCTCCCCCTGGATTTGGGATCCCAAAGAAATCCCCAGGGATTTGTGTCCCTCCTGTTCCCCTTTGGGGCAGGAAAATCGGGATTTCATCCCTCCCCGAGCTGGAAATTTGGGATTTGGGCAGCGAATCCCACAGGGATGGGGCCGATCCTCTGGGATTTTATTTTTTTTTTTTGGGAATATGCAAAAAAAAAAAAAATCCCCTAAATGGAATATTTGTAAGCAGAGATTTGTGGGGGTTCCGTGTTTTGCTCCAGGTTTTGGTGGCTCCTCTCTTCCTGGATTTTTCCCTCTGGGATTTTTTTATTTTTTTTTTTCCACCCTCGTTGCTGTTTTTCCATCCCATCCCCTTCTCAATCCCGAAGGAATTTTGGGATTTTTGGGGGATGTGGGGGAAGCAGCAGCGGGAGGGATGTTCCAGGGAAAAATGAGGTAAAAGGGGGGAAAAAAAGGCGGGGGAAGAAAAAAAAAATCAGGGGAAAAAAAGGGGGAATGGTAAAAAAAAAAAAAAATTAAAAATAAGGAAAAAAGGGGAGAAAAGAAAAATGGAGGGGAGAAATAAAAGGGGAAAATAAGGGGAAGAAAGGGGGGGAGAAGGAAAATGAGAAAGGAGGAAAAAGAGGGGAGGGGGGAAGAAAAAAAAAGGAAAAAAAGGAAAAAAAACCATAAAGGAAAAAGAGCACAAAGGAGGAAGAGGAGAGAGGAGCAGACTCAGGATTCCCCTCCCTGTCCCCAACCCCCACTGGCAACACTTTAGCACAAGGTGAAGTTTGCACTAAAAAAAGAAATCAAAAGAGAGAGAAAAAAATAAAAATAAAATAAAAAAAAAAAAGCTCCAAACCCTCCCCCCCAAAAAAAAAAA